TGGCTGCTCCTCCTCCATGGCCTGGTCAGGATCCTTGCTCTTTTATCTTGAGGCGCACCTGCTCCTGGGTGCACCTGTGGCCTTTCTTGCCATGGTGGCAGCTATGCATCCATAGCCGGCCGCGTTCCTCCGTCTAGTGTGGAGATCATGGACATTGGGGGCCTGCCCCCAAACCTCAATGAGGTCCATGATCTCCGCACTAGTCCAGCAGGGTGGCCGCCAACTACAGCGCCTGGTTGGCTCCTGGGTGCTGGGGGACAGCTGGCTGGCTCTGGCTGCCTGGCTCATCCTGGGGCCACTGGGTCAGGGGCAGCGACTGCTGGCAGGCCTGGATCTGGCACATGCAGTGTGGCCAGAGTCTATCCCTTTAAGGGCTCTGGGGCTGGGGGAGAGGAGAAGAATTTTCCTGGTTTGGCTCAGAGTGGCCAGCAAGGCTTCCTGGAAAGGACTGGAGGCCCCCTATTTCGAAATAAGCGTCTACACAGCGCTTATTTCGAATTTGGCGTTATTCCTCGTAGAATAAAGATTAATTCGAATTAAGCGCCCTGCTATTTCGATTTTATTTCAAAATAGCTGTTTGCCTGTATAGATGCTATTAAAGTTAATTCAAAATAAGGGCTGTTATTTCGAATAAACTTTGCTGTGTAGACATACCCTGTGGTAAGATCCAGGAAATATTTAGATAGCACATTGTGAAATGGCTATTCCAAGTTAAATGACCCATGTAGGCAGAGATCACAATGGACCATGGAAGACCACCTTCTGCACCTAATGGACTTTCCTGGGAATGGGAAATGACTTCTGCTGTGACTAAGCAAAATTACGCAGGAACTTGTGACTCACCCATGTGACTCCATCTTGTAATTTTCCACAGTAAAAACAGTGGGATTGTCTCCACTTGCAGAAGCTATTAAGCATCTGGAAACACCTCCATTTTGCCTCCTTCCTGTTTAAATCTCTGGACTATGGACTTATCCCAATGAGAGCATTCTAACAAAAAGACTGAGGTGCTTCCAATTATTTAGGAGCAACCAGAGACTTGACTTAAGCTTGCAGTTTATTCCATCACTGCTATAGCTTGAACTAAGAACGCTGCAATTATTATACGTATTTGATTACTTTAACCAATTTTAACTCTCACCTTTCTTTCAATAAATAAACCTTTGGATTTTAGATATTAAAGGACTGGCACAGCATGATGTTGGGGTAAGATCTGAGTTCTGTACAGGCAGTCCCCGGGTTACATGGATCCGACTTACATCGGATCCCTACTTACAAACGGGGTGAGGCAACCCCGCACTAGCTGCTTTTCCCCCTAGCAGACCAGGGAGACGCGAAGCTAGCGCCCCACCCAGCAGACCAGGGAGACGCGGAGCGGCTTCTCCCAGCAGACATCTCAGCTTGAGAATAAAGGACGGAGGGAAGTGAGGTGTGGGAGAATAAAACTGAGCTCTGGAGAAATGTTTGGCTAGAGTTTCCCCTACAATATGTACCAGTTCCGACTTACATACAAATTCAACTTAAGAACAAACCTACAGTCCCTATCTTATACGTAACCTGGGGACTGCCTGTAATTTATTTTTGCCTTGATTTGATTAGACTGGTTGTATAGATCCACTTGCCTTTAAATTCAGTGGTTTTTAGGGTGATAGACTGGAATGCCTCCGTTAACTGTTTTTTGACTTCTTGTTAGCCATTGTGGTGAGAGAGACATTTACTTTTGTGGCTGGTTTGGTATATGTTAAGGGAGAGTAATCACCAGCATTTGGGGATATATTTGCCCTATTTCTCAGCAGCGTGACCTGAATATAATATTCTCAGTTGTAATGCAAAAATGCATGGTTACAATGGCTCTCTGGGTATTGTATGTGGGGGAAAAACAAAAACAAAATATTTTCCCAACTATGATTAAGTATGACAACAATGTACATAAGGAACAACTTTTTGGTATAATTTACTCAGAACTTCCAACAAGCTCCTGAGGGTATGTCTACACTACCCCGCTAGTTCGAACTAGCGGGGTAATGTAGGCATACCGCAGTTGCAAATGAAGCCCGGGATTTGAATTTCCTGGGCTTCATTTGCATAAACCGGGCACCGCCATTTTTAAATCCCGGCTAGTTCGAACCCCGTGCCACGCGGCTACACGCAGCACGGGGTTCGAACTAGTCGGGATTTAAAAATGGCGGCGCCCGGCTTATGCAAATGAAGCCCGGGAAATTCAAATCCCGGGCTTCATTTGCAAATTTGCAAGTGCGGTATGCCCACATTATCCTTCTAGTTTGAATTAGGAGCGTAGTGTAGACATACCCTGAGAGAGTTCTTTTCACTGGATGATTAAATAACTTAATAGTCACAGATCAGAAACTGTCTAAGGCAGAGGTTCTCAGTATTTTTCTTTCTGAGTCCCTCTTCATCCTCCCCCAGCATGCTATGAAACCTCCATGGCTACCTGTGTCACAGAAACTGGTTTTTTTTTCTACATATAAAAGCTAGGACCAGCATTGAAGAGTATAAGCAGAGCACCTGCCAGGACCCGACACCACAGGGCTCGGGCAAGGCTCAGAATCCTGGTGTCCAACCCCAAATACTGGGGCTTCAGCTTTCTTCCCTGGGCCCCGCACCTCTAATGCCAACTGTGCTTGGCAGACCCTCTTAAACTTGCTTGTTGGCTCCTTGGGGGAACCCAGACCCATGGTTGAGAACCACTGGTCAGAGTGACAGAAAACAAAAGTAGGCATAGTTGGCCAATATTCATCATGGCAAAAGTTGTTAGGACCTCAAAGCATTTGCATTAGAGTAATAAGTGGTATTTAATATATTCTCTTATCTGATTAATGGGGTGGCACAAGCCTCTCACTAGTGCCCTCTTCTGGTTAGGTTTGTCTGCAGTCTTTCAACCCATTGATGGTTTCTCAGAGTTTTCCAGAGACAGCCCTTTGGCCGAGTCACATGTACTGTGTATTAATCAGACCAGATCACTTTCAGGATGTACAGTCCCTTGGGGAACCATCTCAGTACTCCTTGGTTGGTGTCTTTCTAGTCCTTCCCAGACTCCGTCTTTAAGTAGTCCCACCTTGGTAGGACTCCCAGGACTTTCTCCCTGGAGCCACTACCTTCCTGTGGCCCTCCTTGGGCTCAAACCTTACTTGGTCCTAGCAGCCAGCCAGGAGCTCCTTTCTTGCTCCTCCAGCAACTATCTTGGTCCCAGCAACCACCTGGCCCTTGCTGGCACCTGTCTTAGGCTTCATCCTAGCAGCCAGCCACATGCTCACTTTTTCCCCTGGTTCTTGCCAGCACTGAGCTATCTGTAAGGAATTCTGAAGGGACCTACAAAAGTCGGTCAGCATAATGACAGAATGGAATGGAATTTTAAGTAAATGTAATGTACATCGGAAGAAATTGTTTATTCATACATGTAATTGGATTCTAGATTAAATGTGGAAATCTTTCAGGTAAAGAACCTGTGCATCATTCTTTAAAGACAGATCAGTAAGAACATTTGTTCACTGGAAAGTAAGCAAATGAAACATTATCATATGTAAGCAATAGGATGGAAAAAATATACAGAACATATAATATCACTAGACGACTTAACTGGTGTTGCCTGGGTGCTTCAGGGCAAGGGGTTGGCAGCGTGCAGGATTCAGGACAGGAGGCTATAGGCATGGGTGATGCAAAAGTCAGGCTGGGGGTGAGGAGGGGCTCAGGGCAGAGGTGCAGGAATCAGGGCAGAGGATTGGTAAGGGGGAGCTCAGAGGAAAGGGATGGGAACTCAGGAGGGGGGGCAGGGTCTCAGGATGGGATGGGAAGGGCTGGCAGCTTCTCCCCAAGAGTGGCAGGGGGCACAACACCCACCCTCTTTTTCCTTGCAGTGGGGGTGGGGGACGACTGTGCAACCTGCCCTCTAGTTTCTCCTTGGTGGCCAGGGGCAGGAAGGCCATGCACCCTGTCCGCCATCTCCTGGGCAGACAGACAGATGCACATTTCTAAAATATATAGATTATGTCAAACACTGGTATGTGTTCACCTTGAATATTTGAATTCACTTTAGGTCACTTTTTAGGGCTTTCTCTAAAAACGAAAAGACCAAAGGTAGATGATAGAGCATGTAAAATCTTTTATCAGGAGCAATTGCAACTGTTTCGTTTTGAGAAAGGATAATAAAGAGGGGACATTATAGAAATAAATAAAATAATAAATGGGACACAGAAGGTAAAATAAAAATAATCATATTTCTGTTATTACAAGAATAAGGGAACAAAAAGGAAATGGAATTGTAACAAACTGAAATACTTTATCTCATCAATCCACAATTAGCTTGTGAAACTCATTGCCACAAGATATCACTGATTCTAAGTGTGAGTAGGGGATTTACCCATTCTGTTCTAAAACAAATTCCTCACACTGTAGAATAAAAACTATCCCCTTGGGTTTTGGGCTTTATTAACAGAGAAATTAACTACAGTGTAATTCAATTCGTCCGCTCCTTGGGTCCCTACTTCAGGACACTCTGGCTATGTCTACACAGCAGTGTTATTTCAGAATAAACTGATGTTATTCTGAAATAACAAAGAGCACCTCTACACAGCAAACCATTATTTCGAAATAAGGGCAAGGAGAAGGACTTCTTACTCCAATTCCTGTAACCCTCATTTCACAAGAAGCAAGGGAAGTGGAAGAAAGAGCATTCCAAAACCTGAATTAAGCTATTTTGACTTTAGCTATGCAATTGACATAGCTGAAGTTGTGCAGCTTCATTTGACTTTTGTCCTGCTGTGTGGACTTGCCCTCTGTCCTCTCTAGTTACAGAGCTACTCCCTTGCCTTGCTCATCCCAAATGCCATGACCTGAGTCACCTACTCCCATTGTTGTGTGTAAGCCGTGCACACACTGAACACGTTATGAAACGAAAAGGCCCAGCAGCAGCAGTGAAGGGGAGCGCAGGGAGGCGCTAGCAGGCTGCTGGGGGCTCTAGACACCACCTCTATGAAGACCGCTCCAGCTTGCGGAGGGGCGGGCATGCTCTAGGAACTACAACTCCCAGCAGGCAGCGCGGGTCTTCACCGCCCCGCGTTCGGAGGAAGCCGAGCGCGCGCTGGTCCAGGCGTTCACGCGGGAGAGTTGTATGGGCCGCTGGGGAGCCGATGCGTCCGGCGGCGGCGGGGCGGGCCCTGGCAGCGCTACCGTTCCGTGGTGAGCGACGGTTTAAGGGGCCGTTGGTCTCTGTGAGCAGCGAAGTCCTCTGTGGGTGTAGCACGCGACCGCCCTGCGTCTGTGCTGTGGGCCGGGCCCGGGGGCAGCTGCCAAATGCGCCCGTAGCATTATGGGGAGAGGGTACCGCATAATGAGCGCGGGGGCAGTTTCTTAGCAACCTGCCCCTGTCACTGGTTTGGGGTCGCTCACTGGGGGTGAGGGCAGTGACGCGCTCGTGCTTCCCTTCTCTTCCTGCGTATCCTCCCGTTGGGCCGGGTAACGGCGCTGGTGGAACTAGTGGCGCCTGGTGATTGTGTGTCACCCCGTATTGTTTCCTCTGCTCTCTGGGGAGGTGGCTCCTCCGCAACAGCTGATGGGGAGATGTGACTATCAAGATGGGGAAATTGCCCTTGTAGTGCCTTGTAGTGCCAGTTCACATCTTTATTCAGGCCTAATTTGCTTGTCTTGAATTAGTTCACACCTTTATTCAGGCCTAATTTGCTTGTCTTGAATTTGCAAATGAATCGGAGTTGAGCTGTTTCTAACTGGTTTTTTTTTTTTTTAAAAGGAGGATGGCTACTTTTAAATCCATTACTGAATGTCCAGGGAGGTTCAAATATTCCTCTGCTGTACAGTATTACTATGTTACTTTTCTTGATGTCTGATTTGTGTCTGTTTATCTTCTGGCACAGAGACTTCCAGTTTGGCCAAAATTGATGGCAGAGGGGCATTGCTGGCACTTGATGGCATAGATCCTATTAGTGGATGTGCAGGTGGATGAGCCCCTTGATGGTGTTTATGTTCATTGATGTTATTAATAGAGGGAGAGAGCTTGGTCTTCTATACCACCATATTATGAAAACATGTCTGAGTTTTCATAACATAGTGCTAGAAATGCCTGAGCTTTATCTGTAGTGGAGCTTACCTACTACTGGTGCAGCTGCTGCACTACAAGTACCAGTTAATATTTTTCCTGTGTAGAAAAGGCCATATTTTATAGTGCTTGGAAGATGCCAATACTAATAGTTAATGTATTCAAATTTTAGATCAGAAAATACCTTTTTTTTTCTGTTTACTTGGAAATTTCTTTTGTTGTTGTTTAATTACCACTTAACAATGGTGATATGTTTGTTTTGGGATACAGCTTGGGGTGGGGAGGGGAAGCTAACCAAATTATTCTAGAAGTGTATGATTATGCAATGGGGAAAATGAAGTCAATGATGAAGCATTTTTTTGGCTTATTTTTGTTCAGATAATGGAGTCTCTCAGTTCCACTAAGGCTCAAAAGTGTGAATCAAGAACACGGGATGAAAGTGAAGATGACATTGAGTTTATCTCTGTAAGTAGATATTGACTCAATAACTATAGATACTTTTACCAGTTAACTATGTAAAATGTTCTAAGAATTGAATATGTAATGTTAATTATCTCAGCTATATCTTAAATTATTGATATAATTTTAAAAACTCAAATTTTCAGAGCATATGAAAATACTACTTTAATCTTTGCTTTCAAAATGCAACTTAATTCTTAAACTAAACTGATCTGCCTCTGTTAAGAAAATCTGCATTAAAAAGAGTTTTGCTTTGAGCCCAGAGTCCTATAATGACATCTCTCTAGGTGGGCAGGAGTCTCCTCAGTGGACTCTTCTGAAACACAAGGAGCCTTAGCACACCTCATTAATAGTTGGTGGTTCTGTCCATCTCAGCTAAAGTTGAATAAGAGAATCAATGGAGCAAAGCTAGCTTTTGTCAACACACGCATGTGGATAGACTGGGGGTCATATTCTGATATTCTTGATACAGTAAAATGGAGCATTACTCTGAGTAATCCCACTGTACTCAGTCAGACTACTTGTGAAGTCAGGTGTGCAGCTCATTGTGTAATGGCACCACAATTTCACTTTGTATTCTCTGATAGAGATAGGGGAGATGAATAGGAGTAGAAGTCAAATAGCAGTTTAGTTAGGATGTAGAGTACTGTTCGACACACACAGTTGCAGAATGGATTATAGAATGCTCTTGTGTGGCTTCTGACTCAGAATCCCTCCTGTAATGTCAAATTTTGCACAAGACTCTGTCTTCACTGTCATGTAATTTATGTATGTACATAATACTGATGCCTGTTGAAACCTGAACACAACTTTTAAAAACGTGTGTTGCTAAATTTTTATGAGGAGAGTGCGGCATGTGTAATACTACATGGACATGAACCTAAATTCTTTGTCGGTGAAGCAGTCCTATGACAGAAGGAAATATGGAAGACTAGAGGGAAATCTTCCTTTTTAGGACAGCTTTCAGCTCTTACTACATTTAAAAAGCAGAGCCACAGTGGTCTCAGACCCAGCACGAGCTTGGACTGCTCAGTCCCTGCTTGTGCCACTGCCAGGAGATAACCCCCTTATCAGCTAATCGAGTAGTTGATGGAAATTCCATCGATTTCTCAATTAGCTTATTAATTGCTACTTAACATTCTTAATATATAGAGAGAGTAATAGACATCTACTAGCCAGAGGCTGATAGAAAATGGAAGGGGCAGAAGTGTGCCAGTAGTTATTGGGGCAATGATCATGTGAAGCCCAGCCCTACTATTCCAATAGCTTCTTGAAAAGAAAGTGCCCCTGGGAGTTCTTAGAGGCTGCTCCAGGGCTCCACCTTTTTACCACTGTCTGGCTGAGCAAAGTGCAGCTGAGTTTTTTCCCTCACTGATAGGATTCTGGATAATAGCAGTGGAATTAATTAGTTTAATTTAAGTCTGATGTTCTGGGGAAAAGCTGCAAGTAGCTACAGACACTCTCACAGCAGCCTGGAGATTGAAAAGATCGTCTTGCAACATTTTAGATTAAAAAGCCTGACACTTATAAAAAATGATCTGAGATTCGCCAGAAATTAATGTTTGATGTGCTACATATGTAAATTTACTTCTCCTATTCTGGCATGATTTGAACAGTATGGGGCATGTATACTTGTTATTCAAGGGGAAGACTTGAGCCCGCCACCCTGCCCTCCCCAGGCTATGTGCTGTGCCAAAGCTGTGCAGACTCACAATGGCATGTGAATTCTCTTTGAGATGGAAAATTACCACAATGGGCAATTGGAAAGTGCCATTCTTTCAAGAAACCTCACTTTTGGCTGCAATAATACTGATGTAATAGTAATGATTCAGTAGTACATTGAACAATGCCAGGGAATGATTGATGGATACTGTATCCATGTTGGCGATACACTGGTTCCAATTACTAGTGCATAGACATTTAACCTCAAGAAAAGCAATCATACTTATGAAAAACCTCTTTTAGGAAGGGCCTTTGAGACCAGTGCTTGACTGCATCAACCTTATCAGCAGTGATGATGAAGAACCTAGCAGCAGCTCTAATGTTCATGTAAGTATATTTATAATACTTAATTCTTGGGCATTATCAGTAGAAATGATTCCTCCAATAGAAACCCAGAACTACATAAAATTATTTATGTAGAATTTTAATAGTGTATAAACCAAAGTATATGTCTCAGAGGGGTAGCCCTGTTAGTCTCTAAATTTAAAAACATACAACTGTTCATCCTGTAATGTGATATTTGCCATCAAGTGCTAGCAATGCCTCTCTTGCCAGGTATATTTGACAAACTGGACAGTCTCTGTGACAAAGGATAAATGGACACAAGTCAAATATCAGAAATGGTAACTCACATAAACATTTCAACCCACCTGGGCACTCAAAAATAGTCATTCTTCTACAAAAGGAATTTCACACACCAATTACAGAGAGTGTGAAATTGACCTTCATATTAAGAATGTAAAAGACTAGTTTTAAATGTAAAAGCATTTGCTTATTGGATAGTATTTTTACTAGTTGATTAGTCGATATCTCTCCCCCCGCCTTTTGCTGCCTCTCTCAGAGAGAGACAGCAAAGCAGGGGAAGGGGTACTTCAAGGCAGCTTTTCAAAGGGTCAGCCACTGCACAGCTGATCCGCGGATCACCTGTGCAGCAACTGCCCCTTTACAATGCCAACTCTTCCCATTTCAAAGGGA